CAGGTTGGCCGAGCTCCAATGAGCGGCCACGTTGCAAACCAATACTTGACTGCTGCATCCACACTAGTACTCTACTTCCTCGTGTTCTTTGTGCTAGCAGTCAGCTGAGCCCAGCTTTCCAGGCGATTTGTAGCAGAACTTGTCTGTCCTTTCTGGGCCCACGGTGGGGAATTACGGGGAGGCGTTGGAGGACTGTCCAGAGGCAGTTGAGTGGAGACCACGCTACAGAGTGGTCATGTTAGCAGCTGATAAGTTGTGCTGACTTGAGCCTTAGCCTATACCCCCTGACAGGCTGGCTAACTTGAATTAGAAGTTTGTGTGTGTGGACAGGAAGGACTCAAATTAGGGGCAACATTTGAACTGTAAGACAAACCTGTAGTGTGTAGACCAGGCCTATGGTAAAGTTGCACCTGTGTAGCTAAATCAATTTATTTACACCAGTCTAATGCAGACATACTTAAATCGGTTTAGTCTCACTAATTTAAGCAAGGTTTAACCCAGTTGAAACGATTTAAAAAGAAGTCATCTTAGTTTCACAGTTCACGTTTTCTACTCTAGACCAGACCGAGGGGTTGCACCCGAGATTCCAGAGCTGCACTGTGACAACAGATTGGCTCACCTCTGAACGTTCCAGACAGCAGGGTTAGGTTTCCCACACCTCACACCCACATAAGTGTGTTCCACTCACTGCTATGGAAGTCAGTTCTGTTTACAAGCCATCTCCTTAATTGTAACCAAAACCCTGAGCCAAATCACATGGCAAAAAAGGAACTAGAGAGACAGATTTTCCAGTGTTGCAATTCTCTTAGGGGAAATGCACATGTGATATTGGAGGGGGTTTTATGGTCAATGTGTTGTAGCTTTTAAATAATAATACTTTGCATTTACATGGCACCTTTCACCTGAGGATCCCAAAGAACTTTACAATGATTAAGATATTAATATTGCTATTTAAAAACAAAATGTTCATGTGGCTGTCAGGTTGTTAAACAGGATTTGGAGCAAATTGTGTTTAGCTCATTGGTCCTATTTCAAAACAGTGAGGGAGCGTGCCCCAGTGGATAGGGCACTCGACTGGGAGTCAGGAGACCTGGGTCCTAACCTTGCTTTAAACACTGACCACCAGAGTGATCTTGGGCAAGTCATGTCATTGCTCTGTGCCTCGATTTCCCCATCTGTAAAATGGGACTAACTATACTGTCCTTTTTGGGGGGGGGGGTTTGGAAGCACTGTGAGATGTATGGATGAAAAGTGCTATAGATGAGCAAGTATAATTGTTAAAACTTATTGTAACATAATGTAATAGGAGGAGAGGTATTGGGCTAGATTAATAACCTGCTACCAAGGACTGCATGAGATTTCAGCTAGATGGAGGTAATCCTAAAGCCCAAAAGCCTCACTAGTTACTGGGGGTGAGTCACTGAGCTATGCTGGTCCAGCTCTTCAAAGATATTTAGGTGCCTAACTCCCATTAGACTATGGTATCTCATTTCACAAGAGAGAAGTCTGAGACCAGAACTCTGGATCCAAATCCCTATTGACATTTGGGGAAGTTCAGACTTGATTTGGGATCTGAATTTACGGGGCTTGCGTTCATTTCTGCTTTTTAAATATCTGTATCTGATCACAATTGTATATTAGCTCGACTCTTAGGTGATTCTATGAATTAAATTATCTGACAGTCGAATCACTCCTTAAGAAGCTAATACATCTGATGATCCAATTAACCAAAGTTAAATTTTAATTCACTACATTTTTTAGCGATAACGTTGAATTGTAGCATTCAGAACAGCCCTCCAAACAGCAGACATTAAATATACACCTCTACCTCGATATAACGCTGTCCTCGGGAGCCAAAAAATCTTACTGCGTTATAGGTGAAACCGCATGATATTGAACTTGCTTTGATCCACCGGAGTGCGCAGCCCCGCCCCCCCCCCCGAGCGCTGCTTTACCGCGTTATATCTGAATTCGTGTTATATCAGGTCCCGTTATATCGAGGTAGCGGTGTACCAGTGAAATATCCAGTGTGTGTATGTATGATAACTGCTTATCTAATTTGCATGCATGTACTAGAATCTTGACTCCTTTTTGTTATCCTGCACCTGTGGGTTAAACAAATAGCTGGTGACTACACAAAGGATTTGAGAGATTGCTGTTTGGAGTATTACTGTGTTTGCTGTTGCACCCTGTGGAGTAACTCACCCCAGGCCCGGTCTGTACTTAGATCGATCTAGCTCTGTCACTCAGGGCTGTGAAAAATGACCTATCCCCCAGTGTAGATGCAGCTAGAGCAACAGAAGAATTCTTTCCTTGACGTAGCTACCCCTGGTCAGGAGGTGGATTAACTACATCGATGGGAAAAAAACATTTCCCTCATTGTAGGAAGCATCTATGCTACGCTGAAGTAAATAGGATGAAATTCAATAAGGACAAATGCAAAGTACTCCATTTAGGAAGGAGCCATCAGTTGCACACATACAAATTGGGCAATGACTGCCTAGGAAGGAGTACTGCGGAAAAGGATCTGGGGGTCATAGTGGATCACACGCTAAATATGAGTCAACAGTGTAACACTGTTGCAAAAACCGCAAACATCATTCTAGGATGTATTAGCAGGAGTGCTGTAAGCAAGACACGAGAAGTAATTCTTCCACTCTACTCCGCACTGATTAGGCTTCAACTGGGGTATTGTGTCCAGTTCTGGGTGCCACTTTTCAGGAAGGATGTGGAGAAATTGGAGAAAGTCCAGAGAAGAGCAACAAAAATGATTTAAAGGTCTAGAAAACATGACCTATGAGGGAAGATTGAAAAAATTGGGTTTGTTTAGTCTGGAAAAGAGAAGACTGAGAGGGGACATGATAATAGTTTTCAAGTTCATAAAAGACTGTTACAAGGAAGAGGGAGAAAAATTGTTCTTCTTAACCTGTGAGGCTAGGACAAGAAGCAATGGGCTGAAATTGCAGCGAGGGCGGTTTAGGTTGGACATTAGGAAAAACTTCCTAACTGTCAGGGTGGTTAAGCACTGGAATAAATTGCCTAGGGAGGTTGTGGAATCTCCATCATTGGGGATTTTTAAGAGCAGGTTGGACAAACACCTGTCAGGGATGGTCTAGATAATACTTAGTCCTGCCATGAGTGCAGAGGACTGGACTAGATGACCTCTCAAGGTCCCTTCCAGTCCCATGATTCTATAGTGACAGCTGCAGCTGTATTGCTGTAGCACTTGTAGTGTAGACGTCGCCCCAGGAGGCCTGATCCAAACCCCACTGGTGTTACTGAGAGTCTTTACACTGACTTCAATGGACTCTGGATCGGGGCAGGAGTCAGGCTGTCATTACAGTGCTCACAAACGTGTAGTAATAATTGAGAAGAAGAAATTCTATAAACTGGAGTGACTCAGAAAGGCAGCATTTTCCTATGGGAAGTAGCAGAAGCCTCATCATAAGACTCATTCCTAACTAGATTAGACACTCGGTAGACTGCAGGGAACAATCCTGAACCGGTAAGATGACCTTAGCTTAGGTCCTTATCTCCAACTTCAGTGATTCTGTCACTGTTTCCTTACCCCGAAAGAAGATGATTTGCTAAAATGCTGTACACCAGCGATGCTTTACTGGTATAGAAAAACCAGGGTACTTTCTTGGACACAGATATACTGCACCAGTATAGTAAAATTTTCTACCTATAAGGATAGTTAATCACTGACACAGACTTCCAAGGAAGGTTGGAGGTCATTGGAGATTTTTGAGAACAGGTTAAATAAACAGCTGTCAGGAATGGTCTAGATAGACCTGGTCCTGCCTGGGTTCAGCAGGCTGGACTAGATGATCTCTTGAGGTCCTTTCCAGCCCTACATTTCTACGATTCTGTTACACTAAAACTACCCCACGTGAGGAAAACCATCGACGCCAGTAAGAGCACAACTGTCGGTATAGTTGCATCTACACTAGGGGCTTTTTCTGGCTTACCTATGTTGGTTAGGGATTACACTTCTTTGCACCCCTGACTGGCATAGCTGCGTTGGCAGAGCTCTGTAGGGCAGCCCTGCCCTAAGCCAACCTATGGAAAAAAGCAGCTGTGGTGGGGCAGGGAGGAGGAGGAGAGAGAAATCCACAAATGGTTAATGGAAAAAGTTTTCATTGGAAAAATAACGTTGAAGAAATCAACGCGATCTTTGGAAAAAAGGCCAAATATCAATATATCTTGAACTAAAAAAAGTTGACCCTACCCCTTTATCTAGGACACTGATTCTCAAATGGTCAAGGGTTACTTTGGGGTACGTTCAACCTTGGTTAAATCTGCCGAGCACCCCTAACTGAAAGGGCACCAGAAGCACAGTGGCGGACAGAAGCAAACTGGTGGGGAGAGGATAGAGCAGTGGGGAGCTGCAAGCACCAGTGCTAAGGGCTGCGTGCTCATAAAGTCATAGACCCAAACAGAGATAATAAACTGCACTGATCCAAAACGGGGCTGGTGGGGGGTAGAAGTTACCAAGTACCCCACCCTTTGCACTGTCCTAATGTAATTACTTCTTGTAACCAAGCACTGGCGCTGCTGCAGGGGAAGGGGTAGGATTGAGAAGATGGTTTTGACCTTAAAGTGGCCCTCCACACAATGAAAATATGTTCAATTGGGCTGAGATGGGCCATTTTTCCAATCAGAAAGCTTAACTGCCAGGTGGGGGCGGAGGGGAAACATTCCTTCCAGTACTGAAGCAGTTACACTGCCTCGTGCTGTCCCTAATAAAGTTACTGTGTCAACATCATGCTTCCCTGCCCCCGAATAAATGGGCAGAGCGCAGCAGAGCCTTCTCTGGGCAAAACATCAACCTTTCCACTGTCAATCACTCACAATCGGATTGTTAATTAAACCCCACCAATGTATCGTTTGTATTTGAAGGAAAGCCCGGCTTGTATGGATCCTCTGACTCCAACCTGTCGTTTACAGTCCCGGCAGATTTCTAACCCCATCAGCCAGCAAATCTGAAAAGTACTTACTTGCATCATCTTGGCTTCTTTATTTCTCCTTTGCAGTGCAACACAGCCAGAAAGAAAGGGAATGTGTAAAGTGACCCCGAAGTATGATAGCTGCTGCTCCTCTAGAAACTCAATACTTTGCGGTGGGGTGTATGTTTCAATATAGGTCACTTGCAAGCCAGATACAAATCACAGGGCTTGCACAGACTTGTGGGAGTTGTAGTGCATCATACGGGGGAAGGACTCATGGGAGATTTTGTGGGGGGGGAGAGAACCCTTTTCTCAGCCTCTTCTGCCTTATAGCAGCAGTTTAAAATTATTTTAATGACAGATCTAATTAATCTGAATCGACTTTGTTTGAATCCCCCTTGGAGCTGTTGCAATTTACTGACATCTTTTTTTCTTTGTGAAGGGGGGGAAATGAATACCTCGCTGTTACACTGTTCATCTATTGATCGCACAGCACTTTACAAAAGAACTCCCTAGTCCCATCCCCATTTTACAGATGACAAAACTGACAAGTCAGAGGAGGGCAGGGTAACCTGGCTGGCGTTAGCATCTGGGACTGTGGGATTTTAGGGGATGTCGTTCTCTCTTTGAGAACCCTCCCCACCCCCCAAAAATAGCCTTTGGCCTGATCTCCTGTGGCTGAAGCTGGCACTACAAAGAGAAGGAGCAGTTGTGCATTGTTGTTTAGAGACCTCCTTCCTAGACCTTGAAGTGATGCAATCAAAGTGGACAGAGGCAACGCAGGAAATGTAGGTGCTTGTAATAACCTGCCAGGGGTGGTCAAAATTACTGATACGATCATCTTCAGAAGTTCGAGAGCAGGACGCAACTGTTGGGGCTTGGGCCTTCAGCTCCTCAGGGCGTGCTGGCTGGGTCTGGGGGTTTCAGCCCTGTGGGGAGGGGCTTTGGGGGGCTTAGGGCTTGCAGGGACGCCCCGTCGGGCTAAAAGAACAGGAGTACTTGTGGCATCTTAGAGACTAACAAATTTATTAGACCATAAGCTTTCGTGGGCTACAGCCCACTTCTTCGGATGCATATAGAATGGAACATATATTGAGGAGCTATATATACACACATACAGAGAGCATGTAGCCCACGAAAGCTTATGCTCTAATAAATGTGTTCGTCTCTAAGGTGCCACAAGGACTCCTCGTTGTTTTTGCGGATACAGACTAACACGGCTGCTACTCTGAAACCCGTCGGGCTAGAGTCCCAGCAGGGCTGAAGCCCAGAGCCCTGGCAGGTGTCTCCAGAGGGGCTGAAGCCCCGGGCCCCCATCCCTGCTGGGCAGAAGCCCCTAGCCCGCCCCCAGTCTAGCAGGCAGAGAATGGGGGGG